ATACACACACACACACACATATCTATATATATATATATATATAAATAGAACTATAAATTTGTTGATGAGTAGGCGAATCACGACAAATATTTTAAAATTTATAACATAGAGAGTTCGCCTTCATCATAAAACATCAGCGTACTTCGATAGCTAAATGATAGTAGTATTATATACGTATACTACTCAGGTATAATATTAGAGTACTCTTATACAGGTCAATGCCGGAAAAACACAGCATGCGCGCCTGTGGATAATCAGGAATAACTACACTTCGCTAATTATCGTATACATTGGTAGACTACCAGAGACTGACTGGTACAATCCAAGCACACGCCACGAACCGTACACACACCTGAAACAACGTGGACACCCTATTGATAACACCCGGTGTGTCGATTGCCTGGCTCTTGAACTCCTTCATGATATCTAGGAACTGGTTATACACCTGTGGATCGTCCTTAAACTGCAGCTTCACATCGTCCAGATACAACAAGGCATCCTCCACCTTCAGGCTGGAACTGGGGTTGCCCCCGCTCTCCTGCGGGTTCGCCATAGCACTCGCACTCGCAATCGCATTCGCATTCGCACCCGTATTGGTAAAATTCGGCCCAGAATTGGATCCCGAGTTGTTGTTGCTGTTGCTGTTACTGTTGGACCCTGCGCCTGGCGCAATGGCCGACAACTGAGTCCCCTGCTGGGATACATTCGGGGGCATGGGTGCTAGTGTCTGCGGCTGCGGAGGAGGTCCGGGTTGCTGCTGCTGCTGCTGCTGCTGAGGTTGCTTGTGTGGATGTTGTTGCTGTTGTTGTTGTTGTTGTTGCTTCTTGGGCTGCTGAAGCTGTTGTTGTTGCGGTGCCTGGGGGTGGGCGTTGGGGTGCTGACCCAGTTGTTGCTGTGGCTGCTGTTGTTGCGGTTGTTGCTGAGCTTGGTGTTGTTGCTGTTGCTGTTGTTGTACATGCTTTGGTGGTTGTTGCTGTATCGGTGGTTGTGCCATAGGCTGTTGCATGATAGGCTGCTGTTGTGTGTAAGGATGGTTACTAGGCGGTCTTCCCTTCTGTTGATGCTGTTGCTGTTGTTGCTGCGGTGCCATACGATCCTTAGGGCACAGTGAACTTCTCTCCCCACCTCTACCCATCATAATCGGTCCAGAAGAAATACCAGAATTGTTCTTATTTCCGGCATTCGCATGGTCAGCACTACTACCCCCCTTACCCATACCTCCCCCTTGGTGTTGTTGCTGTTGCGGTTGCTGGTGTTGCTGGTGCTGTTTCGGATTCGACTGCTGTGGCTGCAGTTTCTGAGGTCCATGAGCTGGCTGTATATGAACGCGTTGCTGTGTGTGCACATGAGGTGACCGCTGTTGCATCTGTGACGGCGGTTGTTGTTGCATCTGCACAGCGTGCTTGGGTGCATGTTGTTGTTGCTGCCGATGCTGTGGTTGTGGTGGCCCGTGAGGTGCCCCTTGTTGCCCCTGTTGTGCTTGCTGGTGGTGTTGTTGCTGCTGTTGTTGATGCTGATGTGATGGTTGTATCATCTGCTGTTGTTGTAGTTGCGGTGGTTGTTGCGATGGGTGTAACGGCTGCTGCCCGTACGCCTGGTCTCTGGGGATGGGCATGTTTGGGCCATGACCATTGCCAGGCATGCTCTGTCCTTGATTACTACCCGCCATACTTTAAGAGATAATATAGGAACATATATGTGCTTGATATCTCAAATGGATAGAATGTTATCAATATTAAGAAGTGTACGAGTCAATTTATCCAGCTCAAGCAAACCACGTATATGTGTTGATAATGTGAGTGTTTCCCTACAGCCAATGATACACTGGACGCAGAAAAGCCACGTACTTATAACACACAGGACAAACACCTCCCACTATTAAATGAGTCTAATAAAGAATGTGAGTGAACTATAAAACTGACAGTGGGGCGTACGCGGTGTGATTCTGAGATCTAGCGGAAGTATGTTATAACGCAGATATAGTACAGGTGTGCGATTATATAGATGGAGATAAATATATACACCCATGACCCAACCACCAAGCGATTGGAAAAGCATATATTTTGTTGAATTGTTGAACCACATCTATTTTGAAATTTAATTACATTACACAAAATGTATAAAAATATTGAAATTTCTAATAAGTGTCGGAAATTCAATTTCGCAGAAATTCGCTAGCAAAACTTCGAAAGCAGCTGCAGAGCACAGGCAGAACGTCCCGATTTCAAAAGGCAGTGGTTGATCTTTGGCTCATTGCGGTAATTAATGGGAATTGGAAGGCATTGCTGCCATACTATTGGTAGAAAGTCTAGTAGCTGGGGAGATTTGGATCTGTATATTTATCATCTCGAAGTGCTAGTCCCAATTTTAACAGCACAATTTTGGGAATTGAAATATGTAGTCCAATTTTAGCAATACACAGCAATTGCGCTATTTTCAAACAACAGACGTCGTATAATAATTTGTTGCAAATAAATTTGCAAGCGCACCTAGTAGCCGGTAACAGAGGGTATTTTTATTTACGACGTGGTATCAGACGGTATTTAAAAAAATGATTGCACTGCAGCAGAATTGTTATGTTTCTTTGATGAAACTTGAGTTGCTGTACAATATACCGGCCCGCCGAGAATCTAACAAAGCAAATGTGTAAATACATATTTACTTCGTATCTGTATTTATGTACTTTTTTTTGTTTGTTTTAAAAAAATTACACAAAATGTTACAAACGCAACTGAAATAAATAGGCAACGTAGACTGTAAATAAATTTGCGGTTGAAGTATCTTGGTTGTGGTCATTGTCTGGACAGACTCGTATTTATTTATTCAGTCTCGCACTCCGCTCTAGAGAGAGTGTACGTGTGTGAACTTCAGATGTTAGTTTCTATGTATTCATCACACCAGCAGCCAGCGTCAACAACGGCGTCGTCTCTAAATATAGTGGTATAAATACCCGTAGTCTCTAGATACATACCGCACTGTATTTGTGCTCTCATTATTCAATTTATCATGGGTGATGAATGATGATCACACCGTGACAATGAATAGGGGGTCGATATCTCAACATACTGAATCATTTACGGACTGTATACCCCCCACATGAAAAGAGGCTTGTAATAATAATTTAGGATTGCAGTGAACATGTATTGGAGAATCTATATGACAGAAATCAATTGAGGCAGACTGCCACAATATAGTAGTAGGGTTCGTGTAAAAATATAAATCTACGCAGTGTTTTCCCCCAGTGTGCTCTTGGTATAGTATATATTTTTATCTCGTCGTGGCACAAGCAATTATCACACTCGTTTGTCTCGAAGCGTATTTATTATGTCAAGTACAGTTTACTTCCTTGGTAATTTGTAATTTTGAACTTACTTCAATGGAAATACAGGGATAAACAGAAAAAGAACTATTGAACAGACGTCGTAGGATTTTCATTCATCAAGTTGTACCTATGTAAAATTATCTGCGGGGATAATGTATATAGCGAATACCGATGAACGTGACGTGTTCGTGTGTCTGATTGCAATATATATGAGTGTGTACCCCTATGTGAGATCGATATACCACAGCATCGTACCACCGTAAAAAAATAAAACAGTAATATCGCTTTATTGATTGCCAAGCCAGGCGAGATATCAAGTCTCCATAAAGAGGCTTTAACTACATACAGTTCTAGTCCAATACGAATGAACTGTACAAATATGTGCTAATATTGGAATAAATACAATGGTTCCTTTCTGGATACGCTAACGCGATCAAATAGACAAACTATGTACGTTTATCCACCTCCAATAATGAGCTGTTGGGACGAAGATCACTAACAATCGCACAGTCGAAGCATGAATCGTGTGTACCAAAAGCAAGTACTAAGCTATACGCGGTTTACCTGCATATTGACTGTGCTACCTAGCAACACTTGGGTGTATGTATGAGACAGCGGGCGTATGCGAGAGTATATTTAGTGTGCTTGCGTGCTTTTGCGACTTGTGTACATCTTAAAATCATATCTCACGGGGCCGCCACGGTGAGAGTATGCACTTCATGGTACGTAACCTAACACTTAGCAATACCAGTGTTTCAGAGATATGCTTGTAATATAGCACATGACGTCACCAGTGCATTAAGGAATCGCGTGTGTATATAATATCGTGTGCATGTGGTGTGTTTACCGACATATAGGGGTTATGTGGAGTGTACGTTGCAAAAGCAAATTATACATGTCGTGTCTGTGTATAGAGTGTGTGGTTGCTCGTAGCACTATACGAATCGTACAGCCACATCACCACGCAATACTTAGCATGGAACATATAAGTCCATGAACAGCTCAGTAACAATTATTACAGTAGTCTAGAAAAGACCCGACTAGATCTGACTACACGATACGGTCACCTGCCGTTCCAACTTACGAAATTGTGATAGTATTGGTGCCTATGGGATTCTCGGCTGCTACATAGTACGATGCGGATTCAACAGAAATAAAACACCAGGGAGGTTATATCCACGTACGTCGTATTTGTATTAAAGCAATACGTCAATTTATAACGCATATTTAATGACTATTATCTGTGACTGGAATTGTGAACGAGCGCAGTACGTATTTAAATCCATTCAGCATATTGCAACTATATATGCGATGTTCAAGTCCTTCGGCGAATAAGGAGATAGCCTTCAAAAATAAAATACAGGTTATGTGTATGTGTACGAAATAGCCGTTTATACTGTAAAATTAAAAATAATGGCAGTGTTAAAGAAGTCGGCTACTCAGAAAAAACTATTTTATTTTATTTTTCAGAGAAAAAATCATTGCACGTGTTTGTAACGTGTACTTTCGCTCAGATGCAGGAGAACACCTTCATTTGATATTGCTATATGCACTGCCATCGTTCTGCATGCTTTGAAAGCGAGTCTGCATATGAATCTGAAAAATTTAGTATGAACTTCGGTTATTTTACTCCGGCAAAAACTTTCATTAAAAAAGTTGTAACCACTTTCGTACTGCCAAAATTTCCAAATCATCAAATTTGATTGTTGCGCAGAATTGATGACCCTATTTCAAAATGAAAATTACGAAGTGAGGTATCGAGAATGTGTCTGCTGAGGGCCTGAGGCTATAAGGTGTTTTCAGCACAACGAGAAAGGGAAGCAGAGTGTGTTGAAACTAACAAGTTTAGCATTAAATAGTCTATACTGTGCGAATATACCTTCATACAGGGCTATGCACGAGGACGGGAAAGTAAGATGTGAACTCGCATAATGACGTGTCAAACAGAAGGGATGCCGGAACGCACATGATTCCTTCTCCTATGATGGGTTCATATCTTTAATTGCATCATACAGATAAGAGTGCATAATTGCTCAGGGTGGTAGGTATCTGAATAACGTTACGAATTATGTACATTTTTACAATGTATACTTTCGTTATCATGTAGATGCTCGTTAACCATACGCTGCGCTCTAATTATGAACTACCTGTTTTGTTTCTCATCAAAGTCCAAGCATAAGCCATTAACGAATGTATGCGACGCAGCTATTGATAGATCGCGAAGCTGCGAGAAGCTGTTTCAGAACCGGTCCGTCCTGTGGTGAGTTGGCTATTAGCTCATGGTATAGAGCGTTTGGAATCGGCACAAGACTTCTAATAAGGGTAGGTAGGTAAATCCGGTTTTAACTTCCATAACCCCCCTTGGATAGGAGACAACTTTGAGGACTGGATGGGTACGAATTAATACGAACTACGAACTGCGAAGGTTCAAGCCTTCCTAGGTCGAACTTTAGAGGCGACTACGGTATGGGGCGATACTGCGACAGGCCTGCAGCCTGTAGAGCAGAAAGTAATAAAAAAGCATTCAGTTGAAATTTTCTAAGTTCTATAAAGTTAGTTATGTTGAAATTAGGAACATTCTATAATTTAGAGGCAAATTATTTCGACTGCTTGCAAAGCAACCCAACTTTGAGTATTTAAAATTCCTTATTTTGAGTATTAACAAATCGTAAAGTACTATATTCGTCCTATATATTTTGGAGAAGTATTGGAATTATCACACTACGAATATATTTTCTAGGAACATATTAATTAGGATCCGATTGTGTCGGTTGGGATTTGGCGCAGAATTAAAACATTTATAAAATGTCGGTCTTTGCAACAGGAGGTGTCTAGCGCGCTTCTCAGCGTATAGATATTAATTATATAACCGATTATGTTGTGTTCGTAAACGTCAGTTGCTCACTTCATAGCATAGGACTACTAATCAAGGACAGAAAAAATGGTAAGTGGACTTTCACGAAATCGGCTCGTCAGTTTCTTACCTCAGCGAGTGATTAGTGAACGATCTTGTGTGTGCTCGTGGCATATTTGTTTGTCGCTGAACGTTCAGACCTTTGCGGTGAATCGCTTCATTCATTAAGTAAGGCTTGAACCTTTCAGTGCGTCTCAAATCACCTCATCTCTTCACACAACCTTTAACTCTAATATTCTAATCCTCGTATTCCCCTCTCTGTTCAGGCTCGAACCAAGCAGACCGCCCGTAAGTCCACCGGAGGAAAGGCACCTCGTAAGCAGTTGGCCACCAAAGCCGCACGCAAGTCAGCACCCCACACGACAGGTGGTGTGAAGAAACCCCATCGTTATCGTCCCGGAACGGTCGCACTTCGCGAGATCCGTCGCTTCCAGAAGTCCACTGAGCTGCTTATCCGCAAGCTGCCCTTCCAGCGTCTTGTTCGTGAGATCGCCCAGGTTAGTGCATTTGAGTAGTGCGTACCGTGCTCAATGTGTTTTTATGTGCTTATCAAGTCAGTTACGTGTGTGTGGTTACGTGTGAGCAACTCTTTATGCACTTCTGCAGATTGATACGCCAAAAAATGGTTCTCCATCGCGCTCTCTTAGTACTTGGCCTATTACTAGTCCACCGGTCTACCCTCATCTCACCCCACACTCTTTGAATTTATATATTAATATAGTCATCATACTCGTATCAATACGATCACCTATAGCACATAAGGTCATGCATTCGTCTTACTAATACGATAATCTAACTTCCCCCACAAACAGGATTTCAAGACTGATCTTCGTTTCCAGTCTGCTGCCGTTGCTGCGCTACAAGAGGCCGCTGAAGCATACCTGGTAAACCTTTTCGAGGACACTAATCTGTGTGCAATCCACGCTAAGCGTGTCACTATCATGCCCAAGGACATCCAGCTGGCCCGTCGCATCCGTGGAGAACGTGCTTAATCCATCCAAATCATATATAGCATGTATAGCATCTGACATGGTTTATACAACCACGTTAGATCGTAGACGTACATCGCGTTTTATGTACGTATGATACAGATACATGATGGAGAAAAGGTAGTATGTGCGCTCTGCACCGGCATAGTTGAGTGGAGTTACCGGGCGGTAAACTTTACAACAGCGGCGGCAGAGGGCACTCTCACCACTTTCATCTGAACTGAAGCATCACATCTATTGCGTGTGCGTACATATCTTGCACAAGTAAGCGGTTTGATGTCGAATTGAAGTGATGGTGATATACTGACAGACAGGTCCCAATCATATTTCCGCGATTGAACTGGGGCCTATATAAGCTTCTCACTATCAAGATGGTGATGAAGATGCACTTACACAGCGCTGGGCAAAGTCGTCTCACAGGCATACGTATACTCCCACCACCAATAGCGTGATAAACCAAAGAATATAGGCGTAGTTGGGATTAGGTTGGACATAATGGTACAATAAGGCCTCAAGTATGCCCAATTATATGCGTATACTGGGTTGATTCAATGAGACTTTCGCCGGAACTTTATTAGTGTAACGTAGCACCGGTTGTAAGCTTAAGCTCCTGCAAAACACGCTTGAATTTATATAGACACAAATAAATCTGAATACATTGTTTTACTTGGGCAATCTGCTATTAAGCACCATGCATAAGTGGGTAGACGGTAAACACTTTTTCGATTGCGTACTCTGTTTTTTATTGCACTGATGCTGTGTCTTTGAATACATTCAGCGTAAACGTGTACTGGTTTTCGTTCCTCGGCTTTAAGCCCCCACTGCCAGTCATGTCCTTGCAACGGAAGTTGCTACAATTAGTGTAAGACCTGTACAATCTTCAATGATAGGCAGCCTCGCAACTATAGGTTTTACCGCGACATACCGTTTAATATTCGCTTTTATTGCATATAGCAGTATACTAAGTGTGTAGAAAGCGTATCGTTAAGTTTACTGACAATCTGAATGTTTTGAGCTTCTACTTATTGCATATGGTAGTATACTAGGTGTGTAGAAAAAGTATATCGTTAAGCTAACCGACAACCGAAATGTCTTGAGCTCCTACTAATGCACTGATTTTCATTGAGCAGACCACGCAGGACCCATGGCACAGAAACGAGCGCGGAAGTACACACTACCAAGTGTGTGGTACAACAAAACAAGCAACAGGCAGCAAGTGTTTGAAGTGTGTACGAAACACACGTGACGACAGAGGGTGACATGAGCGCACGTAACCAAAGAGCACGCAGAAGTACACGTATTTGAGGAGTGGTTATTAAGTACACGCTATTGAGGAGTGTACGAATGCACACGCGATGGAAGAGTGCAAGCAATGATTGTGCATGTTTCGATTCGACCACAACTCCATCCTGCGTAGGCACGAAAGTCTGTATAGTTGGTATCTCTGTTACAGTCGACTCGGGTGTCCAAGTTGACCACAGACGGCAAGTATTCAGCACGTTGTCGTGTCGGTAAATATGAAAAATCCTGTACCTTCGATACATCCTAACCAGTTCAACACGAGCTTGCGTTATAGTAAGTGAAAGTATGATAACTCATCGCCCCTTTGATTACATGCGAGCAAGTGCAGCACAAGCTCACGTTGCAGGAAGTTGAAGTATGATAAACCCTGTACCTTTGATGCACCCTAACCAGTCCAGCACAAGCCTACGTTGCAGTAAGTTGAAATATGATAAACCCTGTACCTTTGATGCACCCTAACCAGTCCAGCACAAGCCTACGTTGCAGTAGGTGAAAGTATGATAAACCCTGTACCTTTGATCACGAGCTTGCGTTACAGTAAGTGAAAGTATGATAACTCATCGCCCCTATGATACATGCGAACAAGCTCAGCACAGGCTTACGTTGCAGTAAATACACATCGCGTAGCTATTGGAATCTATCATATGTTGTCACGCTTCCTGTACGGGCAGAAGATCCAAGTTTTCTTTTATGTACTGTACTGTGTATGACACCCAGTTACATGATGTATCCGAACAGGTGCTGTAATCCCTCGGTTCTACTTAAGTGTCGTGCCTGTGTGTGTCGACTTCCTTATAAATCATCAGTAGACGACTCGAAGCTTCTCCCCAAACGAACACAGAACGGCAGCGATATCCAACCACCTTTCACTTACACAATTAGTGACCACATGCACCCTAGAGACCAGAAACGGGGTACCTCGTCGACTCAGGCACACAAAAGGTGTGCGATCATTGAGAAGCACACACTTAGCACAATCTCACATGTAAACACACTTATCACAATCTTCCATGGAAACACACTTATCGCAATCTCACACGTAAACACACTTAGCAGAGTCTCACATGTAAACACACTTAGCACAATCTTCCTTGGAAACACACTTATCACAATCTCACACGTAAACACACTTTGCAGAGTCTCACATGTAAACACACTTAGCACATTCGCTCATGTAAACACGCGTAGCCGTACACATGGATGTGGATTGCAACACTATTACCCTCGTATCATGCAGCTCTTGACAAGCCTTTTATTACTTATTATAGCTCTGTCGGTTTGAGCTATAGCATCTAACCGGGTCACACGCTGCATTCCCTCGGAACCATGCACTTGGCAGTGTACGACCTGAGACAGACACCGCAGCAGTTCAGAACTTCGACTTAAAAACCAGGCACCATATTTAGTATGGCACTGCTTGCCTGTACGCAAGAGGTGTTGGGTTGTAACATCTTGTGTGGTCAGTCTGTACGTGTTGCATGCCGCAGATTGGGCATTCGGTAGTGTTGTGGTGTTTGTAATAGGGTGATAGGGTATGCAACGTCCATCGTGTACTATCAGATAATCAACTCAGAAATTTGACTATAAGTGTTAGACTCTGAGCAGTGAGTTGTACATACCCACCCAAGGTCCACACCTGGTATAGAGCCCTAGAACAAAGTAGTGAGGTACAGCCCTACAACAAAGTAGTGAGGTACAGCCCTACAACAAAGTAGTTAGGTGCAGCCCTAAAACAAAGTAATGAGGTGCCGCCCTAAAACAAAGTGAGATACAGCCGTACAACAAAGTAGTTAGGTGCAGCGCGAAGACAAAGTAGTGAGGTACAGCCCTACAACAAAGTAGTGAGGTACAGCCCTACAACAAAGTAGTTAGGTGCAGCGCTAAAACAAAGTAGTGAGGTGCAGCGCTAAAACAAAGTGAGATACAGCCCTACAACAAAGTAGTTAGGTGCAGCCCTAAAACAAAGCAGTGAGGCACAGCCCTAAAACAAAGCAGTGAGGTGCAGCCCTAAAACAAAGTGAGATACAGCCCTACAACAAAGTAGTTAGGTGCAGCCCTAAAACAAAGTAGTGAGGTGCTCTAATCCAGGCCAACAGCACTCCCAAGGACAGACACCGCCTTGCTTAGCGTAAGCTCAGGCGAGTATAGCCACAACCTTACAAAACTCGTGCCTCTCGCTAACATAACGAGCCGTGCATAGAGGGTTGCAAAGCTCTCTCGATGCTGAGGGCATGTTGGGTATTGAACTGTGCTTACTAACCACTAGGAACATGCCGTGCATCGATACTAAATATGACTCACTGCCAACGTCGCTTGTTTGTCATGGTGAGTGCATATTGGGTATTAAGCTGTGCTCATTAACCACTAGGATTATGCTGTGCATGGATACCAAATACGACTCATTGCCACCTTCGCTTGTTTGTCATGGTGAGTGGATATTGGGTATTGAGCTGTGCTCACTAACCATTAGGATTATGCTGTGCATGGATACCAAATATGACTCACTGCCACCTTCGTTTGTTTGTAAGGAAGGCAAAACTCGTCCGTATAAACTCACCCGCCCTAACACATACACTCCATGCTTGCCACTGCCGCCGAAAAAGAGCTGCTTTCATCCCCCGATGGCACTCAGCACACTGATGTAACTGATAACCACCTATACACTCATTAACTGCACATTTTGAACATAAGTGATGCTAACCACAAATCCATCTTCACCCCATGTTCCTGTACATTTCTTCTGAACCCATTTGTCTTTTGTGTGCGGGCAACTGTGTTTCCTCGGGTGAGCTCACCCACTTCGTTGTACGTTTCTACCAGCGCTCTGGCAATGCAGCGAGATAGGCTGGCCTAAGACGGAAAGGACAGCATAAGCAAACACTATACCTCACCTCTATAAATAGCACCAGAGCACCCTATTTATAGCCACACAACTAAATTATATTTATAGCCATCATCGATTGCGCCTGCTAGTACTACTACCACTGGCAGTCGTTGGGGCTTTGGGGTGGTTCTTGGGATATAATCTGATCTCACATGCCACCAGTGATAAGAGTTGGTCCGCAGTGGACGACGACGTCAGCTTTCCGCGAGTGTTGTGTCGGAAGATAAAACTGATTTCGGATCGTAAGGCTTTATCGGACCCTTTCTCCGCTGTACAGAGGGTGTGTACGAAGCACATGGGGGGTGAGGTGTGAGAAGAGGGTTGAGATCACATGTTAACTGGAGCTACTTTGTAACATCAAGTACCGGTTGGTGTTCATACATACGGATAAGGTGGTTCACACTAATTAAATACATGTATGAAGTAACACGCGTTGCCACCTATGCAGATACAACCCGTATTTACACATACTTCTGTATATACTCATCTTGCACATATATAGGAGAAGAAAGATAAATAACGAGAGATTGCAAATGATTGCAACATAAAGCAAATTTTCCGAGCACAACTCGACATCAGTATGCGAAATCGACCATGGAAGATAGTTGAAAGAGAGAAAGTTAAAATACGGACACACACCCACAACGCTGCACCTACCTACCCATCAATATATATATATTTATATATATATACATCTATATATATATATATATAGTGTATATATATACATACATATATATATATAT